GGATGATCAACACTTGGTGTAACTCTTAAAGTAGGTATCCCTTGATCATTGGCTTTCCTGAGGCCTAAAGAATTATACAAGGTTCAGTATTTCCCTATGTTATTACTATTTTATCACTAATAGCTAATACCAAGGATGCTGGAACAAATATCCAATTTGAATGAAGTTTAGTTACAAAAAGTTTCCCCATTTCAAGATAAAATCTAAAACAGTAAATCAAATTCAAGCTCAACAGGGCTGCACTGCTGAGAACTGAATTGCTTCCACATCTTTCCAGTAGTCAACACTGCTCAGGAGTAGGCTTCTAGTATTGCTTGGGCTCCACATAGGTAAGCAGGCCAGAGTAGGGACCATGTACCTTCTATCCATAGTAGGAGGGTTCCATTTTTGAGTCGAATATTTGAGAGCAGCTGCTGAGGCAAGCTGCTTGTGCTATAGGCAGAAATAGTGACCCAAGGTTCTTAGCAAAGCATGTGTTTTGCTTAGTGTTGGTCCAGGTAGACTCTGGCTTAAGTAATACATAACTGGAGAGAAGGCTTTTCTCCTTTTCCATCTGGCTCAGTAGGACACAACTCTGGCCATTTCTTCTGGGCCACCCAAAAAGTTTGCAATAATAGGGCCGAGATCCTCTTCAATACATGGGTAGCTGTACAAGGTGCTCACAGTGGGGAATGGGTGGGGGATGGGGGCCAGGAGTAGATGCTTTGCTCCCTGTCTGGCTCCAGAAGACAGAGCTCACACTTGTGATCCCAAGAGGTGATCAGAAATTACCTCCTTAAACTTCAAAAACAGAGCCACAGATCACTTACTGACTCTAGTGACAGATGGGGTGGGTTTGGGACATGCTCTCTAGTGAAGAAGGTTCCCTGCCTTCTTCAATACATCTATGTCTGATCAATTGCCTGCTGAACTGCTCCTTGCTCTCCTATTACTTGGCTACCTTCATATGCTATGATTCCTTTAAACTTTTACACAAATACATAATGCAGAAAAAAGACTTTTATGTTCTCCCAGCAATCACTGTTCATCTGTCTTGCAAGATAACAGCTTCTTCCTATTGCTTTATCAGCAAACTTGATGCATGTATAAGTTAATTAAAATCTTTTCACCAAATGCAGTGAATTAAAGGAGTAGAATTAAGGTATATATTACATCATTCCTCAGTATTTGTGGGGGATACCATGACCCCCACCCACACCCCACAGATACCAAAACTCATGGATGCTCAAGTCCATTACATAAAATGGGGTGATATTTGCACATAACCTACACACAACCTCCACATATGTCAAATCATCTGATTACTTAGAATGCCTAATACAATGTAAATGCCACGCAAAAATAGTGGTTATACCGTATTGCCTAGGGAATAATGACAAGAAAAAAAAGTTCGAACATGTTCAGTTACAGATGTAACCATTCATTTTTTTTCCAAATAGTTTTTATCCACAGTTGGTTAAATCCATGGATACAGAACCCACAGATATGGAGGGCTGACTGTATTCTGAATTTCAAAGTTAAACAAGTACGGGCCTTTCTTGTTTTCACTGTTCTCCACTTTACTGCACTTAGCAGATGCTGCATTTTTTACAAGTTGAAGGTCTGTGCCAACCCTGTGTCAAGTAAGTCTACCAGTGCTATTTTTCCAACAGCATGTACCACATTTTGGCAATTCTCGCACTATTTCAAACTTTTTCCATTATTATTGTATCCATTATAGTGATCTGTGATTGATAATCTTTGATGTAATAGTTAACTGAACTGAGTCCATATAAGATGGTAAACTTAATAGATAATGTTGAGTGTGTTCTGACTGCTCCACCAACCTGCCATTTCCATCTGTCTCCCTCTCCTGGAGCTTCCCTGTTCCTTGAAACACAATACTGAAATGAGGCCAATTAATAACCCAACAGCCTCTAAGTGCTCAAGTGAAAGAGTCACACATCTCTCACTAGGAACTAAAAGTTCTTGTTAGGAATCAGTGCAGCTGGTGACTTTATTTTGAAGCCAATGCTCATTTACCATTCCAAAAATCCTAAGGCCCTTACAAATTATGCTAAATCTACTTTGCTTGTGCTCTGTAAGTGGAACAACAAAGCCTGGACAATAGCACATCTGTTAACAGCATGGTTTACTGAATATTTTAAGCCTACTGTTGAAACCTACTGCTCAGGAAAAAAAGATTTCTTTCCAAATATTATTGCTCATTGACAATGTACCTGGTCAACCAAGAGCTCTGATGAGGATGTGCAAGGAGAACAATGTTTTAATGTCTGCTAATACAACATCCATTCTGCACCCTATCAATCAAGGTATAATTTTGACTTTCAACTCGAAATTTAAGAAATACATTTTGCAAGGCTATAGCTGCCATACATAGTGATTCTTCTGATGGATCTGGGTAAAGTAAATTGAAAACCTGGAAAGGATTCACCATTGCAGATGTCATTGAGAACATCTGTGATTCATGGGAGGGAATATCAACAATAACAGGAATTTGGAAGAAGTTGATTCCAATCCTCATGGATGACTTTGAGGGGTTTAACACTTTAGTGGAGAAAGAAACTGCAGAAGTGGAGCCTGCAGATGCAATAAAACTTTAACAGATGAGGAGTTGCTTCTTATGGATAAGCAAAGGAAGTGGTTTCTTGAGATGGACTCTATTCCTGGTAAAGATGCTGTGAACATTGTTGAAATGACAACAAAGGATTCAGGATATTCCATAAACTTAGTTCATAAGGCAGTGACAGGGTTTGAGAAGATTGACTTCAACTTTAAAAAAATTTCTGTTGTGGATAAAATTGCTGTCAAACAGCTACAGAGAAATCCTCTGTGAAAGGGACAGTCAATTGATGTGGCAAACTTCATTGTCTTATTTTAAGAAATTGCCAAAGCCATCCCAACCTTCAGAAACCACCACCCTCATCAGTCAGCAGCCGTCGATGTTGCGGCAAGACCCTCCACCAGAAAAGATTATGACTTGCTGAAGGCTCAGATGATCATTAGCATTTTTTGGCATAAGTATTTTTTAATTAAGGTATACACATTTTTTAAGACATAATGCTACTGCATATCTAGTAAGACTCTAGTACAGTGCAAATATAACTTTTCTATTCACTAGGAAACTAAAAAAATTGTGATTCGCTTTATTGCGATATTTGCTTTACTGTGGTGGTCTGAAACTGAATCTGCAATATTTTTAAAGTATGCCTGTTTAAGTTTCTAGGCATAGTATGGGGGCATACCTAACTAATGGGTACCATTTTAAGTGTCGGCTATTCTTGAATTTACACTTTCACATGAATTTTAAAATCAGTTTAAATCACATGAATTTTAGAATCAGTTTAAATAGTTCTATGGCAAGTCCTGTTGAGATTTTAAAAATATGATTGAATTGAATTCTTTACATTTTAAGCCTTCCCATTCATGATCATGATATTATTCCCCATTATTCAAGTTTTCTTCTATGTACTTCAATAAAGGACATAAAACTCTGGCACATTTCTTGTTAGGCTTTTCCTAGGTAACTTTTTTTATTGCTGTTAAAAATGTTATACATTTTTCCCATAAAATATTGCTATTATACATTTATATATTAATCTTGTATTTGGTTACCTTTTTAAACTCTCTTTATTGGTCTTGATAGGTTGTCAGTTGACTGTCTTTGATCTTCTAGGTAGATATTTCTTACAAATAATGAGATGTGTTCTCACTTTCCAATTTATCTCATTATTCTTACTTGTTTTATTGAACTGTCTAGGACATCCAAAATCACTGTAAATACAAGTAGTAGAAGGTATCCTTGTTCGATCCCTGAAAAGAATTCTAGCATTTTACCCTGTATATGATGATTGCTTGAGATAACCTTTAATAGCAAATTTCTAGTTTGATAAGTTATTTTTGTTTTTAACCAAACATGGTGTGGGGATTTTAAACACACCTACTAATTTTACTGTTCAAAAACTTAAAAAAATTAAGAGAATATTCACTTACAGTTTAAGACTTAATACTACTTTCAAGCATATGCTACAGGGCATACAAATAAAATAGAAGGATTTCCTCTAAAGAATTCATGATTAAAGAGAAACATATAACAGATTAATGTTACATGTTTTACTTTGGCACCCAAGAAGCTCAGAACCAAACTATCTGAATATAACAACTCTGCATATCATAGCCTGCTCATCTATATTATATTGGCACCATTCCCTCCCAACATATCACCTATCCTATATAATTTATATCATCCTAGATTTTTTATTCTTACTGTGGATTTCCTGCTAATTGCCATAAATCTTTAATGGAATAAGATGAAGAATAAGTGAAAACTTTAAATAAGATGCAGCTACATTTAGATTTAAAGTGAAGAATGAGAAATATATGATATGGCCAGGAAAGTACTGTTGGATCTTTTAATACAAATTCATTAGTCATAAGGAAATCATGTGGAGACCTAACATTATAATCAATAAATCTCTTGGGTGATATGAATTAAGATCTGGTCTGGAGGAAAGCAAGTACTTAAATGAGGTCTGCTTATACTTACATTGTTAAGTTTAACTATTTGTCATGAGTAGCCACTACTAAATACATCTTAATTTCATATAATGAAGAGAAACCCAGAAACCATTAACATTTGGAGTAATACTTGATAAAGTTTGTTGAATGTACAATCCCAGGCCATTATAAATCCTTTTGAAAAGCATTATGAAAAAATGACTATACCAATCTTGTATTTGAGTGATCAAACTGAAAAATAATTACTGCTCCAACAGAAGTGTAAACAGGACCCATAATTAATGATTTGCTTTCTTTCCTTTGTCAGGCCTTTAACATTTATGTTCCTGTAATTTAAATAAAAATCTCACTTACTTTCTCCCTTTAAGGCTCTAAAACGTACAAGAATAAAAAAAACGAATTTTAGCAAATGGTTTCTTTACTCAAATAGGTGGCACCATAGTATCCATATGGTTTTCTACTATTTCACAACCACTCTTTCAACAAAGATTGACCAATCTTTAATAAAAGTTAAATTTATAAACATCTTAAGATAATTTGAGAAATGCATAGTTAAAAAAAAATAAAGTCCACAAATTACAAATATTTTGCTAATTAATATGCAGACTGCCAATTTTAGCAAATCCAATCTATTTCACTTACACGTTTAATGAGGTAATTTTTCTAATGAAATTCAATTGGGCAACGAGTGGTCTATGTCGTTGATAAAGATGAGAAGTGTGGAACTGCTGTGATGAGGAAAGAATATACTCTCTGGTTATATTACTGTTCTGGATCATCCACGCTCACACAATATGTAAGGTTCTGCCAAGTCCAATGATGTTATTAGGCAAATGTAATAGAAGGTGCACTAGGCTGACACACGTTTTCATCATACAAATCTTCTGGTAGTTCCTCTTCATCTCCATCGGGAAAATACGTAGGGAATGGTAGATTTTTACAGAAATCCTTATATGCAGGCAGCTTAGAATCTCTGACCTAGGGAGGAGGCAAAAATTTTACTTCAATAAGTGCTACTGGTTATTTAAAGGTAGCTTGTTTCATCTACTATTCATAATCAAAGAATATCTGCTCTGACATTTTCCAATGTGAATAATATAACTGTTACATATATAGAGTAAAAAGAACTCAGTCAATGCATTCCTTTTATTCCAAAAATCTGATTAATCCAATGACAGAAACTCAAGTTAACCAGCTATCTTATAAGAATAAAATCATCAATTATTACTTTACATTTTATCATAACTTATAAATCTCCAGAACTGCCCAGTAGGATGTTACATTCTAAAATTACTACTCAAATATCATTTACATCCAGATTTACTTTTCAAATATAAAGACCTAACATAAATTATATACCTAATAATTACCTATTTTATTATCTATTCATAGTGTCTATTTTGATCATTTTATTTTCTACTTTTTATGGGGTAAATTTCTTGAGCTGAGATTAAAAAAAACCTTACCAATATTTTTGCTAGTCTTAACTCTAAGAGTACATAACCAAAAATATCACCTTTTATTAAGAAAATTAACTTACAATTAGTAAACAACATTCTTACTGAGAAGGTAAAGACAGAATTATATTTAACAAAAACAATAACAGACCGATAAGTCTTTATAAGAGCTCTATTAACTCTGTTTTTAAAAAAATTTCTAATTATATTTGTGAATTCATAGACCAAAGTATTTTAGTACAGATACTGATGTGATCTAAAATGCTGGGTTTTATTTTTGGAAAACATTATTGGGTTCTTCAAAGTTTCTGACTCATTCCACAGCCTTCATTCATAGAAAAATTAAAAAATAATTACATGTAATTATATACACAGAGTAAAATAAGGCACAATCAGTTTGGCAATAAGAAATGAATAAATTAGTCAAAATAAGCACACAGCTTGCTAGAAACAGCTAAGTACAGAAAAACAGATCTATTTTAATCTCTGTCATTAAACTGTTTCAAGAAATTATCAGTAAGTTGCCCAGAAGAAAATAAACTTGTTCAGTTTCTTTTCCCCCCAATTCATTAATCTTGGGTTGAACCTTAACTAGGAAAAAAAAAAAAATCACATTCTTACTGATTTAAACTTTCTCAGTATTTAGGATTCAAAATAAAACCCAAGCAAAAAACAAATCATAACTTTCTGTACTAATTTGATAAATAAAAATTAATTATTAATGACCCAAAGAGCTAATTCTCAGTTACCTTCACACTTTTATAAATCTATTATGCCTAAGGAATATTTCAGACAACAAAAGCACTGTTTATATATTCTGAGTGTAAATGCTACAGTACCAGAATTCTTCAATTTGAAACATAAATGATGACATCTCATTTAAATCTCTTTTGTCTTGGTGCTTCTAAAGCTGAGGGCGAAAAGTCTGCAGCCTGTCTTTAACAAATGTGTAAGACTGTATGGTGTGTATTTATCCCTGGCTTTGTTATTTCCCTACCTTCACCAAGACTCTCTCAATTATCTACAACATTCTTTTTATATTTATGATGTCTATTGGCAAACCAGTTCAAATCTTTTAAGGAAAGATGGGGGAAGGACAAATAAAACCCAGGCAAATCTGAAAATAAATTTAAATTATACATTAGAATATAGGAATGAGTACAAATGAACAGAATTCAGTAACATACACATATTATGCTGTAAACAGCAGTTCTTTAGGCTCTCTTAATACATTTAGTGAATTCAAATGTAATAAAAAAGCTTATGTTAATTAAACAGGTTGATTATCCCTAGGACTATCTTTACTAACTTTGGAATCTTAAAAAAAAAGTTATTGGTAGCCCTGTACTCTGACTTCCTAAAAGGTGAGTGGATGTTAATGAAGTTGCCTGCCAGCTAGGGAGTGGCTCAATCTCCATGGGCAAGGGGGGCCTCATTTACCTGCTATGGAATCACTGGAAGAATGGAAACAATGGGGTGAAAAGACGTACCAAAAATACAAACCAACGAAACACTCCGCAAACCCACATCTCAATGTTTGAGACAGACATTATGTTTAAGGTCTTCTGTAAAGATAGTTATTTAGGCACCGTATTTCAAAGATTTATTTTTTTAGGATGAGTTCTTTTTTTATCAAAATGTGTTTGTTGTAAGTATATTTACTAGTGTGATAACAGTTCAAAGTGCACTAGACATTGCTCTGATACTACAGTTTCTCAAAATGTATTTAGACTTCTCTTTCAGAATTGCCTTTGGTGTACCTTCTGAATATCTTCAGTGATGGCAAACGATCATTGTTGCTGGTTATAAATTATCTGTAACAACCGCATCACAGTATCACTGTACATACAATAGTTTTTCAAGATAATTGACTTATTCATCCCTGCTGGTGCCAAAGAAGACATTGAGGTGGTACTTGAAAAGTCACAGCAATGGTAAGGTTCAGCTAGAAAACCAGCCTAGAACAACATATGTAGTAAAATGGACAGAAAAGGAGGATTTGATGACATTTAAAAATTAATCTGCCATCTAATATAACTGGATTATGAAAAATAATTTTTCAATTTTTTTCTCTTTTATTAGATGCTGACATTCACAACCTGTAAACTAGAATGTGGAGCTAGGGATACGCTGAATTATGAAGCCAAAATGTCATGAGAAGTATAATGACAACCTGCTGGCTTCAACTACCTGTCATGTATGACTGGCTCACTTGGAGATTGGAAACCCACTGAAACTTAAAAACAAAAAAACTTGTAAAAATTTATCAAATGCATTTTTTAAGAAAAATGAGAGTAATCCAGTCAGTAACTGAAGTGTTTCAGAAAGGGAATTTTAAAAAGTAAAACTCTTATTTATTGTAAGATTAAAAAGATAGATTATGCCTTACACTAGTAATGGAACCTACTTTTAAAAAATGAGAATACGTAAGAAAACATTGAATTTAAAAAATCTGAGATTTAAGTTTCAATTTTTTTTTTTGCTACTATTGTTGGAAAATCAATGAAGAATATACCTCTGAGAATAGCTGACATCACTTTTACCACAGATTTATTTTCAGAATGGAATATTAAAAACTCAGAAGCCAGAGATTTTGTATTATGTTGGCCTAAATCCCAGACAGAATATTTATTTTGTATTTTATTTGATTAAAATAAATCTCTGAGCACTTAAGAGTTTTTCTTAAAATCTATCTGTACAACATATTTGTTTCCTTTTTTTACTTTGTTTTAGAATTTTTCTAAAATAAAAATACTTATTTTTAAGAAAAACACTTAAAGGTGTAATCAGAGTGGTGCCGGTAATAATAATAACCCCCCCTAAAATGTCTACTTTTAACCGGCTTTCTTTAGGAATCTCAAGAAAGTAACTCATGTATTTTCCAGTTCCTTTGTCAAAGTATCTCTTAAAAAAAGCTAAAATGTTGTCTTGTCTTTATAATTGACACATAATTGTACATATTTATGGGGTACAGTATAATGTTTCAATGCATGTATACATTGTATAATATAATGATCAAATCAGAATAATGAGCATATCCATCACTTTAAACATTGATCATTTCTTTGTGGTGATAACATTCAAAATCCTCTCTTCTAGTAATCTTGAAATAATACAATACATTATAACTGGCTATAGTCACCCTACTGTGTAACAGAACATCAGAACTTATCCTTCCCGTCTAACTCTAACTTTGTACCTGTTGACCAAACTCTCTTCTCCTCTATGTTTTCCCAGCCTCTGGTAACCAATGTTCTGCTCAACTTCTGTAAGATCAACTTTTTTAGATTTCACATACGAGTGAGATCATGTGGTACTTGTCTATGACTGGCTTATTTCATGTAACATGATGTCCTTCAGGTTCATCCACGGTGCCACAAATGACAGGATTTCATTCTGTTTTATGGCTGAATAGTATTCACTGTATGTATGTGTGTGTGTCTTTATCCATTCATTTGAAGATGGACACTTTAAAAAGCTAAAACAATCTCTTTTAAAAAGATAGAGATATACTGATATTTTGGCAATAGTTAGTCTAATATCTATCCTTATATTCCCTGAGATCCTTCTGCTTACTGGCTCTACCCTTTTTATAGGTTCTTGATTTTATACACAAAGGATATACTTTATCTTGTATATTTTTTTCATTCAGGTGCTAGTAAAAGGCAGAAAAATTCAGCAGAGAATATGTGGAAAAACAGTCGCTTATTTTCAAGCCACATATATGAGTCAAAGAAGAATTTATGGCACATGTCTAAATATATAAACAATGGAAAATAAAAACAGTTACACATACCTTTACTAAGCCATTTTTATGTCCAGGTACAGAGCCATTTACATAGATGATATTGTGCTTTGTGTTTACTCTCCATACCTAAAGCATAAAATAAAACCAAACTTTAAGAGTTAAATATTTGAGAATAAACTTGTATTAAAACAATGTTACTAAAAGCTAAGGATGTAAGCAGACTATAAAGTAATAATCATATCAGCATTTCAAAATGTTGAATAAGATTTGTAAAACCTCAAATCCTATGAATGTAATATAAGACTGTACCAAATACATCTTATGGAAGTGGTAGAAACCTTATTTTAAATAGAAATGTGACTGAATAATCAAGACTACTTGCATATCTCAATGGACTCTGTTGGTACCATTAAGAATAACAAATTGAAATTCAATTTTATTTTATTTTCTAGTTAGTACCAGCTTGCCATAACCAGAAACTAGAGAAGTCACAACCTCGCTGGGTCTAATTTCTAAAAGAAGTGAGCTAAGCAGATGGGCCTCAAACAGATCTCCACGTGAAAATAAAAAACTTAGACAAATGAGAGAGAATGACTGGTCAAGAAATGGTACTATGAAAATAAAATATTTGGAGAGGAAATCAAGTTTGATCCACAGCTCATATATAATAATGGATAAGTGTTAAATACTGTAGAAACTGAAATCACACACACACAAAGGTAGACAAATAGATGGTCTCTGATAAGTATAAAAGTAATAGAAGGGAAAAAATCTTAGATTTAAAATTTCAAAACTTCTATTGGTCAAAATTTATAAATAAAATATATCTAGACTAGAGACAGGGAGAACATGCACCAAAATGTGTAATTATCTTTGGGTGCTGTTCTTATGGGAAGCTTATTTTCTTCTATGTACTTTCTACACTTTGAAACATATATGCGTACATATATAAACATTAGTTGTTTGTTTGAATAAAAATATAGCACCCATTATAGTACAACTCATTTTTACTTAGATATTACCTATATTTCTCCAGTTTGTAGAGATCTAACTTCTTGCCCTTTAAATATATATATTTATAAAAATGGATATATACCACAATCCTTTTTTTAGTGCTATCTTTCCCCCCATTTTGATTGTCTTCTTCTCTCCTCCTTATCCGCATCTATTTCCATCCACCCACACATGTGATATATATAATCCAAGATAACTTGGTATATAACCTTCTACTTTTCTCTGTGATTATATAATAATATGGCAACATACATATGCAGGGAGCTTTTGTTCAATTCTTTTATAAACAGAGAATACTATACCTAATGCTCTGAATCTTACTTTTTTAAGGCAACAGTATCTTGTGAAAATCTTCCAGGTCAAATAATAGACCACTGATTTTTTTCTCTTTAATGACTGCACTTTCCATAGCTTGGAATATAGACTACTTCACTACTACCACTATGATGACAACAACATACATACATACACATACACAATAACTGTAAAGCCTATTAGAACAATCACATACAGACACACATTAAATACATGTTCTGGTGCCTCTGCATGTAGGTAATTTAACTGTTCCAAAAAATAACCACTTTAGAAACTTACTTTCAGTCCATATGTTGTCCTGTCTACGTTTCCCATTTGTCCAGGCATTTTAGTTCCAGGCCAGACTCTGGCAACATCCTAAATGAGAGAACCAAAGTTAACATTTTCAATTACTCTCAGTTTCAAACAGTACTGATCAAATTATAAGGCAAATTAAGAGGAATTATTAAAATGTTTTATATTTTCATCCTACTCTGCTAGGCCCCAGGAAAGAACTAAACATGAATTTAGACACATTTACTTCTAGAGGATTTCCTTTCTAAATTTGACTAGACTGTGTCTAGTCAAAAAATATAGACTAAGAAATAGATTTGGGAGAAAAACTCAGTAATGAGCGTAGCAACTGACCTAATTCTAGTTGGGATATAAAAAATAAAAAGGACATATATGCATACCACACCATCATTCAAAGAAAAAAATGGACTGCCTGGCCTGTTTTCAATTCATCTTCTGTATTAACTGACTTAATGGACTCCATTCATACCACTGCTGCTAGAATGGCCCTACTCCTCCTTGTTTTTGATGTTACTTTCCTTGACCAAAATGATTAAAGGACAGAGTTAGTTATTAGAATATTGAGTTTGTCTAGCCCAGGTTGTCTCTGATTCACATAAATCAAACAGCTTCATAGTCTCTGATTTTGCCTCTGATAATGGATAATATAATACTTCTACATCTAAAGAAGCAAATTTGAATTATATCTCTTAACAAAATGGAAAAGCTTATCACAACATCAATTCTTAGAATATAAACACTTTTCCATCATCTGCCTCACACTGATACGTGAAACTCCCATGGAAGTGGCTCATCATGGTGTTAGAGTTGTTTAATATATAACTAACATAGCTTAAAAGACAATCCTGAGTATTTTTTTTTCTTTGCACACTACATTTTTTTTTGGCATGCATGCACACCTCCCTCCAAGTAAATCCATATTTATACCTATAATTCAAATTCAACACTATAGAGTTCATTCTAATTTTCCCCCTTTCATATTTTAATGCTCTTTTCCAATAGTGAGAAAAACCCATCTCCCATTATCAATATATTTACTTATTTGCTCAATGATATAATTCATAGAAAATTATTTCAGAATTGCTACTGCAAAAAATAAACTAAAATCCAACATTTGTGCACAGTACAGTTTTAATTTAGTCTCAACGTATACAGCCGAACTACAGATGCTTCTTGACTAACACGAACCCTTTGTAAGTTGAAAATATCATAAGTTGAAAATGCATTTAATAGACCTAACCTGTCAAACATCATAGCTTACTTAGCCTAGCCTACCTTAAACATGTTCCAAAAACTTACACTAACCTACAGTTGGGCAAAATCACCTAACACAAAGCCTATTTTATAATAAAGTGTTGAGCATCTCATGTAATTTATTGAATACTGTACTGAGAGTGAAAAACAAAATGGCTGCACAGGTACTAGAAAGTACGGTTTCTATGATAAATGCCTATCATTTTCATGCCAATGTAAAGTCAAATAATCATAAGTTGAACCATCATAAGTTGGGGACCACCGGTACTGTGTTTAAAAGTTGCTTGAATTAGCTTTTTCACTCCCTCTTCAGCGTGGTTATGTTATTCATTTGAAATAGTTAGGTTCGTTTTCTAATTATATTACATTTTAGATGTCTCCCCACCCTTGTTTTTATTTTGAATACGTAAAACATTAACATGGTTCCAAAAGTAAAAAGTGTAAAGAAAGTATACTGAAGGAAGTGTCACTTTTGCCATGCCTAAGCCCTTCCACACTGTTTTGACCCATCGCTTGCAGTTAAACAATCTCATTAATTTCTGGTTTATCCTTCTGGTCCTTCTTTTTGTAAAATTAAGCAGAAAACATGTGTATTTCTTAATATCTTGCAAATCACTTCATTGTTTTACATGAGAATGACCTTCTCATTCTTTTTTCTTTTCAGCTGCATAGTATTCTATTGAGTAAACATGCCATAGTTTATTAATCCAAACTCCCAGGTATGGACATTGATGCTTGTAATTATAAATAATATTGCAATGACTAATTTTGTACAAATGCATTTTTGGGATACCATCCACAGTGTAAATTCCTAGAAGCAGGATTGCTGTGTCAAAGGTAAATGCATGTGTAGTTTTCTTAGATATCGCCACATTTCCCTTCATAAGGGCTGCACTATTTTGTATTCCCATCAGTGGTGTGTAAGAGTGCCTGTTTCCCTTTCTTGCCAACAGATTGACAAAAATTAAACAGCTTTATGACACAATCTGCTAGGTGAGGAAAACAGACTATATTATCAATCCTTAGAGACTGATCTTGTATTATTCTGATGCTCCAAAGAAGAATAAAATTCCTCTAGCCTCTTTATGCTATACCTTTGGGGGATTAGGACTGAACTAGCAATACAAAGAGTCCTCTCTCCATTTCTTATGCTTTTATTGTTTACTTCTCTTTTCCCCTTTCCCCTGTACTATGATATTGTCCTTGACAATCTTTCTCAGTTCCTTTAAGGCAAAAACAAATCTGGGAAGGAACCAGAAGGCCAGGTGGAAGGGCTTTCTAACCCTTGATTTCTGTAGTCAACTTCAGAGCATATGCTAGGAAACAGAAGGAAATGGGAAAGGAGGTCAAAAGGTATTGAGGATGCCAGTCGTAAGTATGTGGGATATAAAAGTCTGGCTCTGGGAAATGAGTGAGGCCAGAACTCATAAAAGGGTGACAGGTACTTGGACAAACCTGGAATCAGACTCAAATTACATGACTTGATCTGAAAGACCAACTTCAGAGCACTGTATGTGCAGAAGTTGAATATTTAGCATTAAAAAGAACATCACTAGTTATACTCACACTAGTTGAAATAGCTCCAGGTCTCCTGTGGGTTTTCGTTTGACCATGTGTAGCAGGCTGGCCTTTAAATCCCCATCTTTTCATGACACCTTGAAAACCTTTACCAATACTGAACAAAACAAACTTTAGAATTTACATAATGAACAGAGCATAAAATATTCCCAACTGTACACTTTCTTGATAGTACCTTAGAGTTTTAACAAAGCTTCTTATCTAAATAACTAGAAAAGGCTATACAAGTAAAATTGCAAATGAACATTTCTTTATCTCTGTCCTGGTTTGCGCCCTTTCCTGAAGTCTAATTCTATTAATATATAAAATGATTAATTTGAGATCATGAGACAACAGCAAGCTATGCACAGGGAGCTTTATCTAAACAGGGAATTTTATCATCCTAATCCTGTGAAGATGACACAGTAAAAGTGGTAAAGTTCTCAAAGTTCCAAAGTACTCATCACAGATATGGCATGCAGCCACTAAGATGGACCCCAAAGATCCCCATCTCCTAGTACTCATGCTCTTGGCTTAATTCCCTCCCCTTTAAGTCTGGGTGGACCTAGTGTCATGATTCTAATGAATAAAATATGGCAAAAGTTATGAGATATCACATCTGAGATTTGGTTACAAAGAGACTGTAGCTTCCACCTTGGTACACTTTTGCTTGCTAGGCTCTGAAGGAAGCCAACTGCCAAGGTGTAAGCTGTCCTACAGAGAGGCATGTCGCAGGGATGTCTCCAGCCAACAACTGAGAATCTGAGGCCTGCAAATGGCCATGTTAGTGAGTATGGAGGCAGATTCTCCCCAGGTTGAACCCTGAGATGATTGCAGCCCTGTCTGACAGCTTGATTGCAGTCTTGCAAGAGACCCTAAGCCAGAGGTACCCAGGTAAGTTGTACCGGGATTTCTGCCCACAGAAAATGTGCAGTAATATAATAAATGTTTGTTATTGTAAGCTATTAAGTCTCAGGGTGATGTTTTAAGTAGCAATAGATACTGGTATAATAGAGGACTAAATAAAGAAATAACAGAGCTCTAAATGCTGAACAAGTTTTATTTTAGAAGATACCAGATGGATCTGGGTCTCAAGGTTGAATAGGAAACAAATGGAGAAATAAAATCAGAAAGTATTAATAACAATCTTAATAACCTAAAATCTCATTTTTAACTGAAATCGCTCTATTTCAAATTCTGTTAAGTAAGAAACATTCCGTGATGCAGGTAGAAAGCAAACAACAGTTAGGTTACAGCATTATTAAAGTTTTTCTCTGAAATTCAACATACTAGGTATAGAAGGTATGTACCTCAACACAATAAAGGCCATATATGGCAACCCACAGCTAACACCATACTGAACAGGGAAAAGCTTTCTCCTCTAAGATCAGAAACACTATAAGGACGCCCACTTTCATCCCTTCTATTCAGCAAGTATTAGAAGTCTTAGAGAAATCAGGCAAGAGAAAGAAATAGAGGACATCCAAATTGGAAAGGAGAAAGTCAAACTGTCCCTATTTACAGATGAGATAATCTTATACATAGAAAATCCTAAAAACTCTACCAAAAGACTGTTAGAATAAACAAATTCAGTAAAGTTGCAGGACACAAAACCAACTCACAAAAATCGGTGTTTCTACATGCTGAATAGTAAACTATCTGAAAAAGAAATCAAGAAAATAATTCCATCTACAACAGATACAATAAAAAGTGATACCTAGGAATAAACTTAATAAAACATCGATAAAAGAAACTGAAGAGAATATCAATAAATGGAAAGATATCCCATGTTCATGATTTGGAAGAATTAATATTATGAAAATGGCCAAATCCCCCAAAGTGATTTATAGATTCAACGCAATCCCTTGCAAAATAACAATGACATTCTTTACAGAAGTAGAAAAAACAATTCTAGAATTCATATGGAACCACAAAAGACCCTGCATAGCAAAGCAATCCTGAGCAAGAAGAACAAAGCTGGAGGCATCACACTACCTAACTTCAAAACATACTGCAAAGCTACAGTAACCAAACAGCAAGATACTGGCATAAAAACAGACACATAGAACAACGGAACGGAATATAGAGTCTGGAAATAAATCCACACATTTATGGTCAAGTGATTTTCAACACAGGTGCCAAAAACACACATTGGGGAAAACACAGTCTCTTCAATAAATGGTGCCAGTAAAATTAGATATCCACATGTGGAAGAATGAGACTAGACCACTACCTCTCACAATATACAAAAATCAACTGAAAATGGATTAAAGACTTAAATATAAAACCAGAAACTATGAAAGTACTAAAAGAAAATATAGGGGAAATGCTTCACAATGTTAGGCTGGGCGAGAATTTCTTAAATAAGACCTCAAAAGCACAGGCAACAAAAGCCAAGGATAGACAAATGGAATTACAACAAACTAAAAAGTTTTTTGCAAAGCAAAGAACACAATTAAGAGTGAAGAGACAACCTACAGAATGGGAGAAAATATTTGCAAATTATACGTCTGCAAATTATACGTCTGAAAATATTTGTAAACTATACATTCTGGTTAATATCCAGAATATATATGAAATTAAAAAAACTCAACCGCAAAAAAAATCCAAATATCCTGATTAAAAAATGGGCAAAAGACCTTAAGAGATGTTTCTCAAAAGACATATAAATGGCCAAAAGGTATATGAAAAAAATGCTCAACGTCACTATTAATAGCTATCAGGAAAATGCAAATCAAAACCACAGTGAGATACCATCTCACTCCAGCTAGAATGGTTATCACCAAAAAGACAAAAGACAAATGGCCAACATAAGAAAAATACTCAATATCACTAATTATCAGGGAAATGTAAATTAAAACCACAAAGAGATACTATCTTACCCCTGTCAGAATAGCCATTATTAAAATGTCAAAAAAATAATAGATGTTGGTGTGAATGTGGTGAAAAGGGACTGCTTATACAATGTTGGTGAGAATGTAAATTAGTACAACCTCTATGGAAAAGAGTATGGAGATTCCTTGAAGAACTAAAAGTAGACCTACCATTTGATTTAGCAATCCCACTACTGGGGTATCTAGCTAAAGGAAAATAAATCATTATATCAAAAAGACACACACACATTATGCTGTTATCGCAACGCAATTCACAATTGCAAAGATATGGAATCAACCTAAGGGCACATCAACTGATGAGTGGATAAAGAAAATGTGGGGTGTATGTGTACACACACACACACACATATGCCCCCCCCCCATGGAATACTACTCAGCCATAAAAAAGAATGAAATAATGTCTTTTGCAGCAGCCTGGATGGAACTGGCAACAATTATCCTAAGTAAAGTATCTAAGGAATGGAAAAACAAATACTTGTAAGTGGGAACTAAGTGATGGGTACACATGGTTATACAAAGTAGTATAATGGACACTGGAAACTGGAAAGAAGGGGGAGAGGGGTCAAAAGTACCAACTGGGTACAATGTATACTGTTCTGGTGATGGGCACACTAAAAGCCTTGACTTCACGACTATACAATTCATCCATGTAACAAAAAACACTCATACCCTCAAATCTATCCAGGCAGGGGAAGATAAAAGAAAATAAGTGTTGGTGAGGATGTGGAGAAAAGGGAATACTTATACACTTATACACTAGTGGTAGGGATGTAAATTAGTACAGCCATTATGGAAAACAGTATGGAAGAGCTCTTCAAAAAGTTAAAAACAGAACTACCATATGATCCAGCAATCCCACTACTAGGTATATATCCAAAAGTAATGAAATCAGTATGTTGAAGAGATATATCTGCACTCCTGTAAGTTTAATGCAGCACTATTCACAATGGCCAAGATATGGAATCAACTTAAGTGTCCAACAGTGGATGAGGGGAAAAAGAAAATGTGATACATATATATAACGGAGTATTATTCAGCCATTAAAAAGAATAAAAATCCTGCATTTGCAACAATGTGGATAAGCCTGGAAGACATTACGTTAAGTGAAATAAGCCAGGCACAGAAAGACAAATACTGCATGACCTCACTCGTATGTGGAATCTAAAAAAAGATATCATAGAAATAGAAAATATAACAGTGGTTACCAGAGACTAGGTAGGGGATGAGGATGAGGAGAAGTTGGTCAATGGGTACAGTTACAATTAGGTAGAAGGAATAAGTTTTGATGTTCTACTATGCAGTAGGGTGACCGTGGCTAATAGTAACGAAGCTAGCTATTACTAAATAGTGCACTATTCAGGCCATTTACAAAGAGGACCAAAAGGAAAATGTTACGAAAACCATGTTATTTCTATAAGGACTTTGCTAGGCATTTAACATAGAATTATCAGAGAGCAATGGACTAAAGAAAGCCCATATGAATAATACAGTTTATTTTAGATAAATCAAGAACTCAATATGAACAATTATAAATTATGTATAGAACCTGACAGGTGAATATTATCCAATCATAGGTCAAAAGTCATTTGTATACGAATAATTTAAATGTAGCTTACACGACTTTCTTCACATTAATCAACTGAACATCAAACTTATGGTGTGTACATAATTTTTTTTGCTCTGAAAACTCAATAAAATAATGCTTATTCCTGATCAAAGAGCTAAAACAGCAATTTGATATATATTAAATGAAAACCCACTATCTAATTTTAGAAACAGATTAATACCTAAGAGAACCTATAATAATCAAGTATTTTACTGAAATTATACTTCAGAAATTTAACAAATATTTTCACTTTACGCTGAATTTTAGAGCATTCTTGGAAAGTAAAAAGCTTGGCAATTTAAAAATAAAAAGGAAATACCTAAAGAGTCATTTGAACTTATGATATCATTTGGCAAATAACACTTAAAAGAAAAAAGGAGAGAGGAACTGGCAACACTAATCTAAAAGGAACATATTTTAAAAATACCACATTCTAACCCTGGCCATTCTTGGTAGAAAGTTTACTGGTACCTTCTGAGTTCTCAAACTGATTCATCTTTTAGTTAAAAAGAGAGTGTGTGAGTTCATGCACCAATAAAACACATGCCAGGTAAATTACAGAAGATAATTTAGCTCATTTTAAGAGTAATTGATTATAAGATGAAAGTGGTATCCTGA